TTTTTTTAGATACATTCTTCTAAATAGTTTTTAGTCTAGCTATTATCCTAGCTGTTATACAATGCGGATGACCAATATTTTTGAAGAAATTAAGAGATCTTATAAAAACAAATTTCAACAGTAGAAGATCTTAAATCTTATCGAGGGTGTGAATAACGAGATCTTATTTTTTTACTATCAATTGAATTAATTGCCACGCTTCTGAAAATGAAGAAGAAATAGAAAGAGATTTTAGTTTAAAAAGTTAATTTCTTTATTTGAATTGAAATCGACTGAAACAGAAAATACCTTTCTGTTCTGATCCTACATACTTTAAGCGCTATCTTAAATACGTCAATTCACTCAAATACGAAGTGAGAGCTTCAGGTGTTATTGAGATACTTCGTTGGCTATGCGTGCGTGATCTAGTCGCTATGAATCGGCTAACACTTAGATTTAGAAGGTTTCGTCGCGTGGTCGGTGATCTTATAAGCATCAGCTAGAAGGTTATCTCATTACGTCTTATCTGATGTTTTCAACGGACGTGAGCTTAACGATACCGTAAGAGCTTAAATCGCACGCGAGCTTACGGACAATAACATACTTTGCATGCGCAAAAGAATACGCAGCGCTCGAGAAAACTAAAAACTATCGATATATCCGTAATTCTCAATCGATCAGTTGTTCAGCAATATGTGACGAACGAGAGGAAACGATATCTTTCGAATTTCTAATCGATTAAATGTCACACAAATCTTAACGAACATATTAATCCAACATATTAATGGAGAACTCAAATGACTGGGATAGACCGAATGGGTTCGTTAGCGAGAGGAAAATCAAAGTGACACAAGTAAAAAAAGGAGGAAATATATGAGAAAGAGAGAGGAAGAAAAAAAGAAAAAGAGTGAGAGGGGGGACGGGTGTCGTAGATAAAGACTTCGAAAGAGCCGGTCGCCTTATCTGTAAAGACCGACATCCGCCGGATCAGCCTCAGATACCGAAACCACCCACACTTTCCTTCTGGTGCACGCGCTTAGGCTAAGTTCCGAGGACGGAAACAGCCGACTTCCAGGGATCGCGAATTCCGTTGCCGCACGCGCAGCTGGGCTCAGATATCCCGGCACGATTTGTTCCCTTGGACATGCAAATTGAGTTTTTCAGTTTTATGCGCGCACACCGGTCTGGCCGAACGGTTGCAGATTAGTCGAGAAGAACAGTATTATTTAGACGATTTAATTACGTGGCTTCGTAGCCTGATTCGATTTCGAAAGATTAAACCGAGTCGTCTTGGATTACCGAGTCATCAAGACGTAGAAGAAACTCTAAGACTAACGGTTTCTAGATGCACCGAGTTTATGCTCATTCAATCGTGACATTTTAGACGAAGATGTCAGACAGGCGATAATTTCTTCATATCCTTTATCGATAAACGCGATTGCAATTCGTTTCAGTTAAGTAGACGATGTCTTTAATGCTCTCTCAGAGATTATATAATTTAGAAATTTTTAAGAAGAGCTTTTAGGAGCTATCTTTGACTGCAACTGTAAACCACTTATAAACTTTTCTTCAGTTTACGTACTTCTCACGATATACAAAAGTATATAAAGATGATTAAACATTTTTCTAACTTTTTTTTCCTCTTAAATTACCTAAATACTTAAATTAATACTCAAATTCTCAACTCCATTTTAGACCATCAAGGAATTAAATTCATTTTATTCTCCCCCTTCTTCATCGGTCTCTGCTTAATCGCATTCGAGCACACGATACAGTAACGTCACTGTCGATGAATCTAAATGGCGTGTGCCTTTCCCGTCAGTGATTTAGAAAGATCCTCGGTAATCTCCGAGCGTTCCGGTAATCATTTTGCGCACAGAAAACGAGGGTCGCGAAGAGATGCGGAAAGAAATATTCGGTGGAGATTCTTTGGTCGCACTCCCTTCAAATCGCGCTTTCTCAACACCGAACGCGGCCATTATCGCGACGGTGCAGAGTGGGCGATAGTGGGGTGCCGAAAAATATGTTCCAACTTTTTATCTTGTATCTGCACCACCGCCTCGGTGCAGAACTGAACGTTCTGTTAATTTGCGAAGTCGAGAACTCCATAACTACGCCACGAGCGCAACCGCATTTGGCTACAAATATGGACAATTTAGCGGGAAAAAAAACAGGCTATATCTTGGGAAGTTTAACTTTGCAATTGAAAATTATTTCTTCTAGGAATATAACATGTTTTAATATCTTTACTGTGAAGATTAGTTTAATAAATATCATATATATTTGTTTATGGTTTCTCTTATTGCTCAAATTTAAATGCCTTATATGCTTGGATATATATATATATATATATATTTGCAAATATTTGTTAATTTCTGTTAAATTTCAAAGAAATATTATCAGGAAAGGATAGCGTAAATCAAATCGTAATAAATGGATGTTACTGCGGCAAGATTTAACAATACGAGAAATCGCTAAAGCGAAACGCAAGAAGACGAAGTCGTCGTAAATGAAAAAGAGCCATCGAGAGAAACTGGTTTCGCTTCTTCAAGGGTTGCCCTTCGGATGAATCTTATCTTTCGACGAGAGCTGTCAAAGACGAAACGGCATGACGCTTCCGTCGTGCGGGAAGATAACCGGAAGCCCGATAGGTTCTGCACCAGAAATGAGAAATGTCTTTGCGGTTGCAGAGATTAAAGATTTCGCGGATGAGTTGCCACCGCTTCCATTTCTTCTTTCGCTTTTTCTTACGATAGATTTTTTAGTACGTTTCATTGCAACGTATAAATATCAATTAAACAATACATTGAGAAATGTATATTTAAATTTTTTTATTCTTTCACTCTATTATCAATAAATTACATATTTTCAATTAGTTACTCTTCTATTCCTAATACAAATAGAAAGTTATAAGATCTATCTTTTAATTAGCATTTTTTGGAAAAATTATAAATTACAGGATCGTTATAATAAATTTCATAAACAAACACACTTTCGTGATCGGACAGCAAATGTATCGCAGATTCACGTGGAGCACGACGTGGCAACGCGTCGGTAATAAACAGAGCGCGTAATACGATGTCCTCGCGATTAAATCCTGCGGCGTAAAAGCCCACCTTAAACCAGCTGATCCCGGTACAAAGACGACGCAAGGACGGGACGCCTTAATGAAAACTATACGTCCCTAGATTAAGGTGGACGCTGGTCAGCCTTCGGACCCGCTAGATACGACCTGTCTTATGCAACGTGGGGAACGGGCTCTATGATGTCCGGCGTATTAGATGGAAGTTTCGGCCATTAATACCTAATATCATGCCGCCGGCAGTAAATCCTTTGTTGGTTGGTCATCTTTGACGGGGACTTAGCGCCTTGCATCAAGAGACATTTGAGCTATCTATCAATCCGGGTACAATCCAATATTGCGCTGTGATTAGCTTATCGCGCTTGTAAAAAGTGTAATTTAGATATAATAGATATAACATTAATCTATTCTTAAATAAATTTACGAAAAGATTAATCGTCAATGTGTATTCTCTTTATGAATTTTTCAAGCTGACTTACAGAGAGAGAGAGAGACGAAAGTTCAACAAAAGCTCTCACGTAACCGCGCATTTCACTCGCGTTTCGCTAGCCGCAAGCCGCGCTCGGCGATAAACAACGCCGTTTAATAAAACACGTAGGTCTTATTCAAAGCTAATCAACAACAACAACTACGGGTCACCGCGCCGTACTTCTTCGTAAACAAAACAACCGTTGCTTCGGAGAGCGCTTCACTTCTATTCCAAACGGCGGCTCGACTCCACTCGGCCGTAGAAGACTCGCGCGGACATAACAATATTTATAATTTTTTAAATACCGAATACTTTTCTAATTAAACATTAAATTAAATTTTATTATAATAATTAGATTTACATTATTAAAACATTACAGTGAAAAGACTACAACGGTAGTTGCAAAATTTTTCAGAATACATATAATATCGATTGATCTATTGGTTCCGTGAACAAAATATATCTGTCTCAACAATGTGGAGTGAGTATATGAGTATATCAGTAAACAACACGTTCAGTAATCTCATCGAAAATTTGATGGTACCCTTTACGGATAAGTATAGGCATCGTGCAGCTAGGTGGAATTGTGCGGGCTTTCCCCTTCTTCCCCTCTCCCGCAGTCTTTCTTTCACCATCCCTCTCTCTTCCTTCTCGCACTCCATTTCCTCGGTTTCGCAGAAGTCTGGGATTATGACCTGGAGTGGGATAGACTCCCGGACTTAAGTCAGGGTTACACAAGGATCGCAGCTATTGTGCCATCGCACAGGTCCCATTGTCTCGGGATAGACGAGTGGATCTGCATATGCTTAGCGCCGGAGTTAAACTTCTCTCTCTTCCTCTCGCGCTTCGCATTACCCTCTCTTTCTCTCTCCGTCTTCTCTCAGCGATCTTCAATGCGCGCTCCGCGAATCATCCTGCCCCTCTGAATTTGGATGCCGAAACGCCGAAGACTATACCTATTGTCAGCCGGATGTACAGAAATAGTGCTTCAGTCGAAGCTATGAGACGATTTGAGCTACTCACCAACTCGCGGAGTCTTCGTGAGGATATTTTCGTGAGGATATTCGGATTCAACTAATCAGATTTGTTTCTTTGATCTTCCAAGAAATTACAAAATAGAAATAATATCATACGATCTGAAAATCAAACTTATAGCAAATCATGAAGCAAAGAAATATGTGAATAGTCTAAATCGATACAAAATGAGATATTAATGCATTAAATAATTTGTCAATTAAAATCATATAACTGTGTGAAAAAATTTGTATTTTGTATCCAATTAAAATTTCAAAACCGCGACTATGGAATCTTTAATCAAGCCTTTTCATTACGTGCAATTAAATCACATTTGTAAAATGATGTAATTGTTAGTTAATTTGTTAGCCGTAATAAATTTGTTACCCCATTGTTACTCGTAATGAGCGGATTGTCGAGCGCGTTACTTCACGCAAACTCTTTTGTCTGTCGCAGCGAAAAACCTCCCGGTGCATTGTGTGGTGGAGACGATTCACAATATCGTGGAAAGTCATGTGAGCAACAGCCGTGAAAAATGGCGAAGTCCTCAAGTAGAGACGGACTCTTACGTTATTATTCCGGTAGCTATGCCCTTTCAGGTAAGAGCTATTTTTTTTTAATCATTTCTTTTATTAATATTGAATACAATGAAGTTGTGGATGTAATTTGTTAAAATGTTAACAAGCTCAAATTCAAATTGTAATTATCTAAAAAAAATTCAACTTTTTATGATGGGGCTAAAAAAATTTACTATTAATATATAATAACAAATGTTAAATTACACTTAAGAGGAAATTAAAACATTTTTCACAAGAACACGGTATTCATTATTTGTACAAATTCTGAAAATTTTTTTTACATAAATTATTGTAAGAATAAATATAAAAATATATATTTAGACAACACTAATAATAGTTTCGTTTTTTTCGCTGATAGGATTTAGTAGGCGAGGCGCTTGTACGCCTAGGATACTCCAGCGATTTGATACCGAGCGCTAGAGGAAGCATCGTTATTCGTAACTGGAAGCCTCTACCGATGGAGAAAGTCGCCGATGGACCGCTGCTGACAGTAGGAGACATTCTGGCCGAACTGACGTCGGTGGCAACCCTAAAGATTCAGGTGTACAGATCTAGACCGCCACCTCCCAGTCCAGCAGCTGAAGTTAGAAATAAATTGCTGAGGTTGCTCCTGTTGCACAGCCATACGCTTCTCGTCTCCGCAGGCTGCCCCTTGGACGAGGTAAGGTGTCTTAAATTGTTAGATGTCGACATTCGTGTTTTTCAATGTTCCAGATATTTGGAGAAGAGAAATATACGTTTTTGCTGTGTTGTAGTCAGATTTAATTTATTAAGCAAGCTTTCTTGAAAAAAAATCTATTTTAAAAATTTATTTACAATGAATACAGTAGGGAGATGCAAACGAATTAAATCAAACCGCATGTTTTTAAAATTATAAATTTATTCTAAAGATTGATAAATATTTTTCGCATTTAAATCTTGTAGAAAGTATACGGAAGTAAATTTTTCTCAAAATCTTAAGCGATATATCGTGTTTTGTTATTTTCTTTAATATCGCGGTTAAAGGCAAAAGTACGAAGGGAAAAAAAATACTAGGAAATGAAAGAAATAAATAAACTGTATATAAAGGTGCGTTTATTTGAAGAACGAGGTTAAATAACGACGTACCGAGAAAATTTAAGGGCCATTCAGGGTGAGATCGGAGCAGGGAATATTCGTAGTAAGACGACCGCTTAAAAATGTATAAAATGTAAATCTAGCCAGAGAGTGTTTGTCGTCGGGGCACTTAATCTCATTAAGAAGTCCTCCGACTCAGTACCCTTGTAGCTCCCATAAGAACGGCAAGTGGTAATCTTTGGTAGATTCTTGCTCGCGGCTCGCTGATCCTCACCTTGAATAAATGCTTTCTTGGTTTCGAATCACCAGTCGAGAAGTCACCGCATTTTAGTAGCTTCCGTTCCCGAATCGAAGCATTCTTATATGAATAATGAAGCTTTCTTCAATCTCAACATTACAATTGGAAAATTTGCAATGTTTATTATTTTAATTAACGATAATAATCAGTTTCAAGTAGTTATTACGATTTGTATTTATCTTTTTCTAAAAGTAGGAAAAATAAATATATTCCTAAAATAATATCTTAATCAGGATTTTAATAAAAAAAAAGTAGAGAACTATTATGATTTAAATGTAAAAAAGAGTTTCATCACAGGATTATTCACATTTCGCTTCGACGTCGACGACTCGACGGTTTCGTAAAGCTGATTCGACAAAAATTTATTAACGCCGCGCGAACTGGCGAACTCTTGCCAATCTCCAAGCGATGGAACCGAATAACGTAATCCCGATTAGGCCAACTAACGCGAAATTTTCTTCGCGGTGACTTCTCAAGAAGTTTATCCTGGTTATCGCGATCCTCTCCTCTGATACCATTCCCCGAAGATTGAAATAGATGCACGATTTTTCGGATTGGCCCACACGTGCAAACGTGCCCCGCCGACAGCGGAAGATCTCATAGCGTGTGATAGGATTACCCTTTACTCAACCAAATTCGCAGCCTTCATCAAAAGCCCCCTCGATATCAGTATCGGGGAGGAAAGGAGAGGTGCCCTGCCGCCTCCCGGACCGGCATTATCTAAGTGCACTCTCTTTGAAGATCCCGCCACCCGCCCATCCCCGAACTTTAATGCCGCTCACGGTGGTCTATGATTACCAATTTTCCCCGGCAAACGTTTCCTGCTTGAGTTTCGTAGCCCGACGGCTAATGGCGAACCGTTGTGATGGAGAACCGATGCCTCTCGCATAGATTTGGCTTAATCTGACGATGATGCACGAAGACGTATTGCCGAGCGATCTCCCCTCTTGTTTCTCTTTAGATACTTCCTACGACTTCTTATCTCCCCTGGAATATTTTAAATTGTTTTACGTGTCTGATCTTTATATTTTATCACTATATAACAAGATTGAAGATTTAACTGTTTTCCATTACAATTTTTTTACAAAGACAAGAGTTTTCAAAAATTAAGAGTAAGGTGTCGCAATTTGAAACAACAATTTTATTAATCTTTAATATTAAATTTAAAATGAAATGAATTTAAAGATAAAGTTTAAAATTAAGTCTTTATAGCTATCAAGGAACAAATGAAAAAAATATTTGTTATTTCCTGCGTTTCGCATTTTTACTTGCTTATCTTGATTGTAACATTGTTGTCACAGATTGATATCAGTTATTTCTGGTATCCGTGACTCAGATAAAATGCACGATTTGTGGCATATTGTGCACATTTTTGGATATATCAAAACTGCTTTCGTTGGAGAGCGATTAGAATTTTAAATATGCAGAGACATATAAACGAGGAGCATTTAAAGCACACATGATTTTTGAAAAGTATAGTGCTCGTATTTCTTTCGGTATAATGGAAAGTTTCGGAAAGGTAATAAATACTTTTCAAGGGGCTCGGAAATTCGCATTAATTGGGATCGGCAAACATAAATCATCACTGTCAACGCGATTTCAGACAATAAAAAGCAACAAAATCTGCTTTGAATCCTATTTAGTTTGAAATGTAGAACAGTGATGTTAACAGACGTCGCCTGATATATCAGGATTAAGGCTTAACCGTATTTATAGCGTGGCGGCGGCATTTGATTTATTTACTATATATTTTTACAAAATTCTTCTCTATGTATTGCGAAATCTGGTTTGTATTTTTACATAAATATATAAAGGGTTAGGAGGATCAAGTTAACTGTGATAATAATTTGTCAATTGTGTCATCCGTTTCTTCAGTAAAATAAAATTTTAAAAAGTTAAGGATTACGATAGATGTATTAGCATATATTTTATCACAAAGTTTGAGAAAAAAATCTGTACATACTTTTTACTTAAATAACACAGTTGTCATTGAGAGTTGGATAATTAATTTTTTATTCTACTAGAACTTTGTAATTCTATTCTCTAGAAGAAATATGTTCAAGAGCCGTGACAACAGATATACGCGTCACGAATTTCGCGAATCGCGTTGTTGCGATCTCTCGCGCGATGTTGTTTGATCAGGGTCCCGTGATCGCGATTGATTTACCACTGCTCTATGGATCAGCCGATGATTGCTCGGTGTGCAATCGCTCTGAAATAATAAATACGTGTAAATCAGGCTCTCGAATCGCAGCGCAATGTCGTCAGATAAGCTGGTCGCCCCGCTTTCGATGGCGTACCAGGCGTGTTTACCGTACGATTTCTGAAATCTCGAGAACGCCTGTCAAGACTTGCGCCTCGCCTGCCTACCTAGAGTGATTAAGTGCGGTGTCGTAAAACTGAGGCGGATGAGAATTCGAGAAGGTGACTAGCGGGAAGCTGCCGGCGGTCGGATAATTGTCGCCTTGGTAGTATCTGACGCTACCAAGGTGCCGGGGATGCGCGACGGATTACCGCGTTATTAAGGTGGCGTCGAGCGTCTGATCTTCCAGCCCAGAGATATATTTGTTCTTATAAATCATCGACCAGATAAGGTGCGCGTACCGCTTCCTGAGGCGCGAAATTTTCCATAATCTGTCATCTTAATGCCGTGACGAAGGCGAAAACGACGTTGCCTTGTAATGTCTACTTGCGTCAACAACCAGAAATCGATTGTCAAAAATATTTATATTCACGTAATAAATCCGTCTCGGTAGTATTGTTTCGACTTATGATATCCTCTTATTTTCGCTTTATCTCAAAAGGAATACGAAGGATTGCATCATGACTATGTGAGTTTGATAGTCTTAATATAAAAAAAAGTCTTATATATTTTCTGGTAATAAAGGCAAAGTAAGAAAATAATATCTTGACAGTCATCATCACTATTTATTAATCTTTTACTTTTTCTATGATTCATTATTTGCAATTAAAACTAAGATCATAAACTGACGGCAGGAAGATAAAAGATCTTTGAAAAAAGATAACGTATTGCATTTCTTTTGCAGATGACCTTGCTATCCCTCTGCCGAGGCGGCAATGATTTATCGGAAGAGACAAAGAGGAATTTCGAGACGTGGTTGCAGCAGCAACAGATAGGTCTTGGTATGAATCCGATAGCACCCACTTCCAATCATCATCATCACACGCAAAGTCCGCAACCCGACAACGGTGGCACGATCGCTCCGGGGGGCGGCCCGATCGGGCCGCCGCATCCAGCGCTTCTTCAATATTCGCATAAGACCAGGATGAGGACCAGCTTCGATTCGGAGCTCGAATTACCGCGTCTCCAGCGTTGGTTCGCCGAAAATCAGCATCCGTCGCGCGAACAGATACAGCACTACGTCGCGGAATTGAACTCCCTGGAGTCGCGCCGAGGCAGAAAACCGCTGGATGCGAATAACGTCGTGTACTGGTTCAAGAATGCCAGGGCAGCGCAGAAGAGAGCCAGCATGAACGGCTGCAGTCCTCCTGGACTCAGTCCAAGAGGTGCCAGCATCGTCAGTGAAGATTGCACGGACGAGGAAGAGGACATCAGGCATCAGGTACGCACCGTTTGTGTGAAAGAAAAATGAAAAATGTATTTTTAATTTTTGAGAAAGGCTAAATATTTAAAAATTTTACAAGATGATTTTTTTCGAAATTTTCTATATAGAAAAAAATCTATTGTGACAGATAAAAAAATAAGGAACGAGACTTGTGAGATGTCCTATATAAAATTGTAACGCGTGATACAACTTTGTTTCTAGAATCCTAAAGAAATAAGATTCTTAATTGCTGTTTTCAGTCGACATCAGGATCGCCCTGTCCACCGAGCAGTCCACCTGTTGGGCCTCTGTCTTTGACTACGAGACCCGAGGATCAGCAGCAGCCGCCGACATCGACTCCATCCTCGGTGAAGCAAGAGGACGCAAGGGTGTCCTCCGGTTCCGAGGACGACGAGACCAGGCACACGGGTCCCATTCCACCAGGATTTTCTCTGGTGCCCAGCCCGATGTTCGGCCACGGTATAATGTACATGTCGCATTATCTGCCGCCACGCGGACCAGCCGGCTGTCCCACCAGCATGCTGGCCGACGAGAGAAGAAAGAGGAACCGGACGTTCATCGACCCCGTGACGGAAGTGCCGAGACTGGAGTATTGGTTCAAGCGAAGCACTCATCCGAGCCACGCGGTACGTATAAATCGATTGTATATGTACGTCGTTATCGCGCTAATTTGTCTCTTCTCCGACGAGTATTAGTATGTTACAAGAAATTTCTGTGGATTATAATAGCACGTTCGTAGATACAATTACACATGTACAAAGTATTTTGTTTTGTATATAAAAAGTGTTATTTAGAGAAAGAAATTTTTCACTTGTATGTAAACTTTTTGAAAAATTGTTATCATCATTCGATCGATATTTGACTAACTTTATTGCATTGAATTTCTTAAAATAACAATTCCATTGCTGATTAAATGTTGCCGTTGGAAATTTGGTCTTTCACGGGAGATTCGCTGAAAAACGATTTTACGATCGGTCCATAGCTCATTCTGTCGTACACGGAGGAGCTGAACAAGATGCCCTATCGCCAGAAGTTTCCGCGTCTGGAGCCGAAGAACGTGCAATTCTGGTTCAAGAACCGCAGGGCCAAGAATAAGCGGCTGAAGATGGCTCTGTTCGAGGGCGAGTCGCCGCAACAGCATCCATATCACGCCGACTAGTTAATTTTCTTAAATAACTAGGTTGACTAGGGACAGAAGCGCGAGAGCCAAATGACATGAGCATTTGCAGCGCGAAAATAAAGGAAAATCGTTAACCGACTTGTTACTCCTTACTATCGTTGACACACGCGGCTTTAAACGCTTACTGGCCGCACATTCATTGTAATTATCACGTAACAATTAATATAATTATTATGAACTTTCATGAGTGTAAATACGAGATGATGTCGAATAAAAGGTATACGTCACGATAAAATGATACTGAGTATCTGTTCTTTGCGCCAGATTCGGCGGAACATGTCTAAAGACGGTGCTGATATTTCCAGATTAATATTTACGATTAATTTATGTATTAATTATATCTATATCGATATAAGGGCAATATTGGAAGAATAGAAATAAATACAAATCGTCTACGAGAACCTTACATCGATTTATTAGAAAAAGATTTATTATTTTAATTTTCAATAATTACAAATTCTTTTCCAGATTTAACAAAGTTCTATTTTATTATTTCTAAATTAATTTCCAGAAGGGTGTCAAATTTCTTTCTGAAAGAATTGTACCTGAATTTTACAGAGCTCGCAAGAAGAGGAACGAATCGAAAGGTAAGAGCTTTAAGAGCGACGTCGTAGGTAGTTCGTTCGTTTGTCTCGCACCGGGCGAGCACAATAAATCGTCAAATGCTGTTTCGCAAGTTTCGTAGAGCCTGTAATAACGTATATATATATATATATCTCTAAACGGACGATGGTGTTCGACATAGGCACACGCGTATCGTGCGCAACGATACTGTCTCCAAGTCTACGAATGCACAAAGCAGCCGCCCCGACCGAAATCTCGCAGCTAAGATAAGACAGCCGAGCTGTCAGCGAGTCAACCCTAACTCAAACGTCACAATAGTCAATGAGTCTTTCTCTAAAAGCGACATACTATCTATCTACTCGCACTACTCGCGTTCGCATCGCTCGTGGGAGTTTCAGGGACGGTAAGACTGCGGATGCGGCAGGGTATGACAAAGAGACCGCATGAAACGGAAGTGCGGTGTATTGATGCGGTGTAGTTAAAAAGTATCCGCCAGACACTCTGGAATAGCCAATCTTTTTCCTTTGTTATATACATTTTCAAAGCACGTGTCTTCTTTTCGTATCGTGGAAGGGAAATGGAAATATTTTACATTATCAAGCTTCCCTTTTCGTTGATTGATAAGCGGTTATCGTTATACGGAACGCTTATGTTATAATTTCTGTATACTCGGTATACTCGTACGAATGATTACCGTAGAATCAAATCTTTCGAAGCGATACGGGGGGGGGAGGGGGTTTCCGAGATGCTACGTTCAAGCTACGTAGCGAAAAGGGAAACTTCCGCGTTTAAGTACGTAGCGTAGCGCAAAGACGATGCCGAGGGGATATCGCTGTCATCTACGACACGCACACAGGATCCTATCGTCCTGGTGGGCCCGCCGGGGGTCGTCCCGGATTTAATGAGGATAGGCGGATTTGTCCAATTAAAACGTCTTACAAGGATCCATCCGGGTCGACGACTCATTCGCAAAACATCGAATCTAGACTTTGCCGCAGCAGCCTTTTCTTATCCCCGCGCTATAGATGCCTACCTACCGTTATCCCTCTCGTTATCGTTATCGAGCTCTGCCTTTCGAACCGAGCGCACCTCGGAGAGCGGCGGCGGGGCAGACAAGGATTTATGGAACTTGTTTCGCGAGTGCTGTCGGTATTCGCGAATGTCGTGCAAATTCTACCGCGTCATCGGGCAAAAACACAACTCATGATTGAAGGTGAGTGGATTGACGTTATATCATTGGCAGTCTATTATAAAAGTGACGAGAACAAGACAGATCACAATGTTAGGATGCTACATATTATCCTGTTTCGATGCGTTAAGCAAATATAATAAGCAGATTGTGAGAAATAATTAAGAATACGCTTGAAATATCGAGATTAATAAAATCATCGTTATTGACACATTTTTCATTCAAATTTTCGTTTAAACTAAATAACGTGAGGACTTTCAAAAATATATTTCTTTTAAAAATTTGAAGATAATTTTCTGTTATAATAAACATACTTGTAAACATCTAGGTATGATTTTTTTCGATTGTTTGTTGTAACTTTTTATAAATGTTTCTTATTATTTCATATTAATCGTCAAATTTGATATGTAAAATTTATCTATTATTATTTTCTGTTATTATATCATTTATTGAAATTTCGTTTCTTCGTACGACCATTGAGAATCTTTAATTCGAAGGAAAGGAAAAAAGAGCAAATTTGTCGATCGGATAAGAAAATTGCTGGTGGGTCGAAGAATACGAAGAACCAAGAGGGAACAGTAAGACGACAGCGGGGAAGAGAAGAGAAGCAACGTCTTATAAAAATCTAAAAGTCAGCAGCTCGAAGGATCATCCCTCTATCTGATCTTAATTTGTCAGGTCGCACGCAGACAATTTAGACCACACCGTTCGCATTAAATCGTTATGAAAAATGGCCAGTTTGGCTAAAATTAGCTTTCTACCGTCATTGACGCGTATAATAAAATTTGTGCTACGAGAAACGTACTAAGTCGATTATTACATTAATAATTATATTAATAATAATACTTCTGATTAATTTACAACATTATATTTATATCTTAATGCACAGCGTTTTGAATAGAATTTTTTACATGATAATAAACGATACATTTATTACTAATAATAATAGCGATATAATAACTCGTTAAAATAACTAAAATTATATATAAAAGAATTTACTTCAAAGTAAGAAATTTTATAATTTTTTCGCAAAACGCAACACGATAAAATATGAATGCAGCAATATCCTTAATATAAGGATATAATCCTTACAATTTAATAAGCAATAGGCAAGGAAACAAATTTCCTTGCGATCAAGCGAGTTACGGACGGATGACATCCGACAAATTGCGAACGATCGAAAGGAATATAGGATCGTTTAGAATAAACGTAGCACGACGGAACCAGAGCTAGACATTGCCCTTTGCATTTCTACACGAAAAGTATCCGCGAGATGTGGGTACATGTCGTTCCAAAGGAGCATTGTGTGTGCTTTGGCATTCAGAGAACGTTCTTATCTGCCTATCCGGGGAGCTGTCAGCAAAGTTCCTGAATAAATAACGGAGAGCTGGTAGAGAGAGAGAGAGAGAGAGAGAGAGTTAGTAGAGAGAGAGAAAGGAAGGAAGAGAGAAAGATAGATAGAAAGAGCGAGAGAGACAACGAGAAGGAGCCGCGCGTTCTGCTATCAGCCGTAGCTAGGATATGTCTAACTATTCTGTTTCCATGCGGCTGCCGGACGTTTCGTCGGCAGATAATGTTGGCCAGGATGGTTAGATTGTTGGATGCGATTGATAAGAACCGAAAATGCCCTCCGTCGCTGAATCGGATTGTAACGAACGCGCGTAGAACGAGCCGGCTGCATAAGAACGTTTATTTCATTAATTATTCATTCATAACCGCGGACATGAGTGAGTATGGTCGGTCATATTTTTCTTACAAATATAGTTGCCAAATGATGTATTACAAATATCAATAGGGTGATAATTTCGATGCATTTCCCGATTAAAATAATTTGAGTTTGATAACACTGAATAATATTATAGTTAAATAGACTTATAATATTAAAAAATTACAAATACGAGATAACGATGCATAAATATGAAAGTGCATAAAATATTTACAGTGTTTAAAGCTATAAATAGCTACGATTTCGTAAATAAATTCTATATTTATTAATAGTAAGAAACTCGCAAATGGAATGACGTTGACAAGAGAAAGGAAGACTTTCCTTTCCGAGAGTTAGGCGAAAGAAACAATGGTAAAATAGTTAGAATGGAAACCAGAGAGCGGTTTGGATGAAGTCATGAGACAGCGGAGGGGTTTGAGAATTCGAGAGCTCGCAAATTAGCCGCAGGATTGGTCTCATAATCCTTGAGGGATGCTACGGTTGGCAACGCGGCTTCCATCTTCTTGTCCTGTTCATTTCTCTCTCTCTTTTTCTCTCTCTCTCTGTCTCCTTCTTATACTATTTCTTTCTCTTCTCTTTTCGTTCACGAGGGTAGCTGATGAGGTCATATAAACGAACTCCGCTTTCCCCTTCTTATTCTTTAATCCTATCCTCCCCTATACTCGCGCGGCTATACTAAAAATTACGAGTAGCGAGGAAGAGGACGACCAGCTAAAGGCCAACGATTGAAAGTAATGAGCCGTAGAGGGAAAATCACCATGGGGTAGGCCGTATTCTCCGTTGCAGGTAATCCGATGGTCGGATAATTAATCCCGTTAATTTATCGGCACCGACTCATGACGATGCGATCGTGCGTGTGAAGAAAGATTAACCGTGCAAGACGCGCAAACTCATGTTTTTTCTCATTTATGAGAAATAAAGTATAGCAATAATAAATAAACGTTTTATTCCTAATAAAAACGTTCAAAAGATTATATCGACGCAATTAATTAAAGGAGAATATCTAGATAAATATTTCCTATTTAATATTTTTTATACCTAACTTTTTTTATACCTAACCTTTTTTTATATATATTCTATAAAAAATTATTTGATGTATTTTACAAATCAGATTTTAACTTCTTTGCGAAAAAAATAGAAAAAAATAGAAAAAGCTCTTGTCATCAGTGCGCAACTCAAAAGTCTTTCTTCAAAGGTGGAAGAGGCTACATAATAATAACACTAATATATTGATCTTAATTCCACCAAAGCTTAAAGGGCTAGCAATCGTAGTCACGGTACTACCGTGATTCTGGATGGATCTAGCGACGACATCTTAATTGATCTACTGCCGAATGTTACACGATTGGACGGGGGTATTAAGCCTCGGAGAGTGGACGCTTAGTCGGTCATTGGCCAAGATCTATCACGAAAGTAAAGCCCAAGGAGAGGAGATCATACCACTTAGCCCGCTCGACGTAGGAGCTCCTTTCGCGACCGTAAATAAAAGAAATCCTTGTAATGGCCTTTAGCGAAGATCCTCCTACCATCCACCCCTTGCTCGTCCCGTCGGCGAGCGATCCTCACCCCGGTTATTAAGCCCTGGAGGCAACCACCCTGGCGTATCAGACGCTCGTAGGCCCGAGTACCGGTCGGTCCAGCCAGCAGCCACAGTTAATTCCTTAACCCTTATAGACTTCGAGAAAATTTAGGGACCCTCAATGGTGGTAGCAATAGGGGTAGGGATGCGCTCGCGTACATAAACCGGGGGGATGAG